CCCCCCCCTCCGCTGAGGAAAAGCTCACATCCAGCCTATACTGTTGGCCCGCGCCGCGTCGACGCGGCCGCGACTCCAGCGCGGGTGCGCAAGGCTGGACGCCGCCAGCGGCCTGGAGTCGGCCAGTGGCCTAGAATCGGCCACTGTGGAGCGAGCTGCGGTATCGGAGACGCCGCGATCGCCCGAGACCACTGCCGGAGCCGCCACGACGCGAACCCACGAGTTGGCCAGCACGTCCTGCTTGAGCCTAGATTGACCCGTCCTGCTTGGTCTGTAGGAGGCCACATGCGAGCCCCATCCCACCGCCCGACGAGTTCTAGGGGGGGAGGTGGGGTCCACTTCCTTAGGGGCCAGCCCACGATTTTCGAGGGGGGGTGAGCGGAGGAGGAGGGGGAGGGGAGGAGCAGGAGGAGGAGGATGAGGAGGAGGAGGAGGAGGAGGAGGAGGAGGAGGAAGAGGTGGGGGAGGAGGAGGAGGAGGAGGAGGAGGAGGAGGAGGAGGAACGGAACGGAACGGAGCGGAAGTCTGCGTGCCAGCTCCGGTAACCGGAGCGGTCCCCTAGAGGGCAGACCGTGCGCTGAGCATGTCGGAAAATGAATGTCGGCAACGAGCACACGCAGGAACATGCGATTAATAATTCCTCTGGTTTGCAGGTTTTCAGTCAGAGAACCTTCGCTGGCCAAGAAGAGCGAGAGGAGGAGGAGGAGGAGGAGGAGGAGGAGGAGGAGGAGGAGGAGGAGGAGGAGGAGGAGAGGAGAGGGGGGCAGCTAGCAGCGCGCCGCGGGCACGTCTACATTCAGTGTATCAGAGAAATCACAGTCTTATCATGTACGGAACGCGTCACCCCATCTCAAGCTGGGTCTGCCGACAGAGCGCTTGGCTACAGTTCTGAACCAAGGCGTCCAATCTAACAGTCTTTTGTTTCATTTCTCTTCGGTGCCCAGGAAGAGTCGAGTAGCATAGTGCCGTTTTCGTTCGGCCTGAAGTCCACCCCAATCTTTGATGTTATAGTTGTTGCAATACTCATCGACTCGTAAAGTTTCACGTCTTATATAATCGACCCAGCTTTCATCATCACCTCTCGCCACACGGAACATGTTGCGTAGCACGTTTCTCCGGGCGGTTCTGAATCTAAGCAAGGTTGCGGTGCCCATTGTCCAACACTCGCACCCATACAAAGCAGTTGGGGTCACCACGCTGTCAAATAGTCGCATTCGCTGCCGTAGAGGATACGTCCTCGAACACAATACTTTCCGAAATTTCGCAAAAGATTTCCACGCCTGTGCCAATCGATTCGTGTACTCGACCTCGTGGTAGTGACCCAAAGATAACTGTCTCCCCAGATATCTTTCTGATTCTTCTTGCTTCAAGATCTCGACTTCGTGTCCGGACAGCGAAATTGATGAGGCAACATTCGTACTTGAATTTGTTGAAATCTTTGTTTTCCCAAGGGGTACAGCTAGACCGTACTTCGCTGCCTCGCCCTTGAGGTCCCTCAACATCTTTACCACGTCCGCTTTGCTCTGGGCCATTAAGAGAACGTCGTCCGCAAACCTGAGGTTCGTCAAAGGATCCGACACGGAGTCCACGACAAAACCGTAGTACTGCCCCGTCCTGCGAAGGTTCAGGTTGTTCCACCTTTTCTTCAGGCTGCGAAAACATACTTCCATTACAGCAATAAATAATACAGCGGATATTGGGTCACCTTGTTTCACACCACGTGATATACCAAATGTCCTTGACTCTGTTCCCGCCCAGACTACTGCCTCTTGATCTCGGTAAAGCTTTTTGAGCAAAGTGATATGATTGAGCCCAACTCGCAAGTCAGCCAATACCTTCCAAAGCGCAGGATGTTCGACTGTGTCAAATGCTTTTTCAAAGTCTACTAACCTAACCCACAACATTTGATTCCATTCAGCACAGCCCTCTGAAAGTAAGGTCATGGCCATCATATGGTCCACTGTTGAATAACCTTTTCGGTACGCAGCCTGGTCCGGAGACTGTTCTGAGATGATGATCGGCTGTAGCCTGTTGCAGAACATGCGCGCAAATAGCTTGTATAAATTTGGAAGGATCGCGATCGGCCTGTAGTTTTTCACAAGTAAGGGGTCTCCTTTTTTGAATAATACAATCAACCGCGTTTTCTTCCACGTCTCCGGTATTTCTGCGCTCGGGTCCAAGACATCGTTGAACAAGTCCAGCACGTTGTCCCAGAAGCGGTTGCTAGACGCCTTCAGCATCTCAGCGACTCTTCCCGATTGGTCTCTGCATTTTCCGCATTACATAATTTTCAGTGCTTCTTCAAGCTCTTCTGTTGTGAACTTTTGTACTGCAGTACACTCTCCGTTGTTGTTGGTGTCAGCTCTGTCTCGCCCCTTGAACAAATTCTCATAGAAACGAGCAAATACTTCAGCAATATCGTCCTTGTCGAACTGCTCCACCCCAGATTCGTCGCGCACGGATGCAATGAGCTGCTTCTTCTTCTTCGCGCCACTTGTTTGTGAAATAGCAGATATCCCACGAAATTGCGTCAATGTCTTGCTTATGTCTGCTTCCTTCTTATCCTTCAGCCTTGTCTGGATGAACTTCTTGATCTTTTTGCTGATCTCGAGTCTTCGGGTCTCCTTCTGTTCAATGGTAATGGATTGGTTCCGTCGTAAGCCCCTTCGCTCAGCAATCAATGCCTGCAATTCTGCATCCTCGCTATTCGAGCTGCGTTACCGGGCCTTCTTCGGAAGCGCCTCTCCCAAAGCTGTAACCATGCATCGCTCCAACAACCCAGCATCATCTGATGTAGTACCTCCGTGCTCTGCATTTTTATCGACCTGTGAATCGAGTAATTGCTTGTACACGGCCTTGCTCACAGTACGGTCCCAATGCTTGCTATGTTTCTTCTCTGCCGGCTTCGTCGTGCACCTCAGCGCCAATTTCAGTTCAAGAGCCCGGTGGTCAGAACCCGTATCAAGCCAATCACAGTTTCTGCAATGTCATGAATGGTTGAAGTGTGTGGTCCAAGAGTACGTAATCCAATTGTTTGTGCACGCCTGCATTCGAATACGTCCATAAATCTTCAGCGCCCGCCTCGGCGTAAGTGTCGGCAAGTAGGAGGTCGTGCTCCAAACAGAAATGAAATAGCAGCTCCCCACGCGCGTTTCGCAGTCGAATTGGATTGGGGTCCATTACGTCGTTATCTTCGTATCCGCTTCTTGGCCCCCATTCTGCATTGAAGTCGCCAGCAACCAAATGTCGTATACCTCTTTGCCAAGCTCTGTGGATGAACTCGTCCAGAATAACATACACAGCATCCACAAAACAGGCTTCGATCCTCGAGTGCGGCATGTAGACGCCAATGATCTGGAACAAGAAGCCACGAACATCAATATCCAGAACTGCAACTCTGTCGCATACTGCTTGGAATGATATGTATGTCAATCTGCTGTGTAATAATATGCCGACGCCGTTTTTGCCCTTACTACCCCCGCTTCAAAACCACGTATGATTGCCATCTGTCGTGAAGATCTCACTTTCCTCTTCTCTCCACGTTTCCGTAAATATGATAACGTCCCAATGTTTGCCACGAAGTTCAACAAGGACAGCTTGCATTCGTTCTTCAAGCTTCATGGAAGAATGGATGTTGTACGTAATCATGGTAATATTGATCTTTTCGGATCCACTTGAAGAGGCCGTTGTATAAGTATTGGTAAAGGTACATGGTGTTGCTCCTCCTCGGGGCGGCTCCTACTCGCTGCTGCGGCCTCTGTCCCGCTTCCGCTTCCACTCCTCGATGTCCTCCTCCACCTCGTCCCTCACCTCAACGGCCACACCCTTCAAGAGCATTGTCGCGTCCGTCGATACCCACGCTACTTTGTTAAACTTTACTTGCACCACTCCTTTCTTCCAGACGATCTGAACGTCCTCGCTGGGGATACCCTTGGACTCCACGAGGTGGTGCTTGATAAGGCCAAGGGTTCTGTCCCGGACTCGTTGTTTATAGGTACGGTTGTTCGTGAACCATAAAGTAATGTCCCCTAACTTTTTGCTAGAATTCCGCTCCTTTTTGTAGAATCCGATTTTGGAAGTTTCTGATTCGAACTCGATGACTCCCACCCTGGCCGGATCACTGAAAGTGAAAATTCGTGTCACCCGGTTCTTCCAGCCACCCTCCGCAAGGAAGGCCTCCACAGTCCGCACAATATCCTCCTCTGATGCTTCCTCCTCAAAGCCTCCCACAATGACCTGAAGCTCCCTGTTTTGCTCGTCGTCGCTTTCGTCTTCTTCCTCCTTCTTCTCCTTCTGCCCTCCTCCCTGAGCCTCCTTTTCAAACTTCATCTTGTCCATCGCGGCCTGGACCTCCGCTGTTACCATCACCTCCACCGTGTCTCGCAACTCCTCCTTCGTCACGTAGAGCCCCTCCATGTCCTCCCTGAGTCCTTCAAGCTCGATCTCGAACTCGTCAACCTTGACTTGGGAGCTCTTCGCAATTTCCATGGCTTCCTTAGCTTCGTCTTTAGCTTCCTGGATCGTGGTCTTCAGCTCTTCCAGGTCGTTCGTCATTTTATCCAGCCGCTTCGTCCACCTTTTCTCGTACGTCTGGAACCACGGTGGTGGAGCATCGCTTCCCGCAGCAAGTGAAAGCTCTTCTCCCAGAAGTGCTTGATCAGTAATCTTCTGCTTTTGCCTTTCTGGTGTAGACCCATTTTTCGGGCTCGAACGCTTCCCATTTCCAGCCTTCGTGCCCTCAGACATGCCTGCCCAACTAGGTGGTACAAGTGCGTGAGCGAACGTGGCGATACTGGGAGTATCAGTTCGGGATGTAATTGTCTGGACTCCAGACTTCCTTGAGCCAAGGCGCTACCTTGAGCCAAAATGGCTACGGAGGAGGAGGAGCAGGAGGAGGAGGGGGGGGGAGGGGGGAGGTGGGGTGGCCTCCTGGTCTGGTCGGGGCTCCCCTGCCTCTCCCTGCCAGGGACGGGCGATCCTGCGGAGCGGCGTGCCAGCCAGACGCGGCGGCCCGCACGGGGGAGCTGGGGTTAAGTCGGGCCTGTCCCTCTACATTCGGTAGCAAGTCATGGGAGCCTCGTGTACCCTCGCAATTCCGTCTTTAGCGTCATGTATCGTCGATTAGCGTCTGAAATCGACGAGCTAGCGCCGATTTAGCGTCCATATAGCGTCGATCAGCGTCGATATAGCGTCGGTTAGCGTCGATTTAGCATCGACTGGCGTCGAATCGCAAGAGCCGACAAGATGGTATGGAAGGCTCCCATGGGTTGCCACCGAACTCTACACGGGGGAATATCCAGAAATAGTCCAGAACTAGTCTGTGGACTTTCTCTAGAGTACCTGCGGGCATCTTTCGAGTATGTGTTTGAGCATGTTTCATTTTTCGTCCAGCATCCCCCTGTAGGGGGACAGGCCCGATCTAAAGCTGGGGGCCCGATGGGGGCAGAGGTCTGCCTCGGGACCCCACCGATGCGGCAGCAAGTCATGGTGCAGGCAGCTCGCGTATTGAGGATGGGCATTCTTTCCAAGGGTACCATTCCACCCCTGCCTCCTCGGTCCATCCTTGGCCACCTTCGCTGGCCGCACCCCGCTCGAAAAGCTTCGAAATGGCCTTCCAAGGCCATTGCATCCTTATCGTGCATCCTTATGGTACGGGCCGGCTGTATAGCGTGCGCTAGCCGCTAGCGTCTGGCACTCTATGAGTAAGCACCGATTCAGAGTCGAGCTGCGTCGATGTAGCGTCGGTTGGCGTCGGTCAGCGTCGGTTCGCAGGAGCCGCCACAATGGCACGGGAGGCTCCCGTGAGTTGCTACCGATCAGTCATTCGGAGGAAGGAAGAATTGCGCACACCACAGCTTTCGGAGCTCGCTCCCGCCGCGCTGTGCGCGCCTGGGAGGCGGGGGGGGGGGGGGGCAGCGCTAACGCGAGACATGCTTCGAAAGCTTGTGCTTGTGAAGGGGGAGGGTGGGGGGGGGGGGGGGCAGCGTCGATGCAAGACATCCGCGCGGAGCTCCGAAAGCTTGTGCGGGCTGTGCAGTTGTTTGTGCCTCCTTCGGTTCTTGTGGTCCTCTCCTGGGGCGCCGGGGGGGGCGGGGGGGCGCGCCGAGGCAAGCCATCCGCGCGGAGCTCCGAACGTTTGTGCGTTGGGCCGTTCTCATTCTGTCTTCCCCCTTGGCCCTCTCCTGGGGCGCCACGGCGTGGCGCTCCTCGCCTCCACCTGCTCCTCCTCTGACTCCTCCTCTTCTTCCTCCTCCTCCTCCTCCTCCCGCGAACGAGGGCGGGAAGCCAGAAGGAGACGACCTTTTCAGAAGCCCTCGCGCCCTCCGAGAAGTTTCTGGTGGTTTCGGGGAAGGCTCAGACAATTTCTCGGAGCGCCGGGGGTCTTCGAGCCTTCCCCGGTCATCCCAAGGCGGGGCTAGGGAACGGGCCCAGCTGGATGCTTCCGTTTAACGCGTTTCTGTCTTCCAGGGGCCGTTCGGAGCGCTTTCTTTCCAACCCCACCTTTGTTTCGGATGCAACTCTTGGGAGGGTCAAATTCTGATTTTGCCCTGGTCCGAAATCAAGCGTAACCCCGCTTAATCCGGTTTCATCCTGCTTAATCCGAGGCCCACTCCGGCGCAACAGCTCTCCACTGGGGCTTAACCCTCTTCAATCTTTCAGACGATGACCTCCCAGCAGTTGCCCCGCTAACTTTGTCCCTACCCCACCCCCGTGGGCCCCACGAGATCTGAGTCTCGGTGGCGGTGGCCGCTGACTCTCCCCTGGCAAGCTCGCTGGTCCGATGCCCTGTCTCGCTTCACTGTGGGGTCCCCCAAGCCCCGACGCTTCAGGGCCGGCTTCTCGTTCCGAGCTTTAAGTCGGGGGTGTCCCTCTAGAGGAGGATAATTCAGAAAGAGTCCCCAAATAGGGTGGGGACGGTTTTTCTATCATTTTCTGAGGGTTCTTGAATTGTTGTTGGTGTATTTGTAAGTGTTCGTCCAACATTTGCCTGTAGGTGGACATGCCCGACCTAGCCGAGCTGTTTGTGAACGCCCCCGGAACCCAGTGAGAGAACCTTGAGATCGAAATTTGCGAGGAACCGTGCATAGGGGATTTGTTTGTTACGGCGCGAGCACGTCTGGGAACACGACCATTTAGGATGCAGTTCTTGGGAGGCTCAGTTCAGCATCGGCGCGCTTGTATATCCGCTCTCGAACACGGGCCTGATCTGGCCAAATCCGTGGCGCAATATGGGTTCATCTGGCTCAATGGTTCTTGAGTAATCTGTCTTGCGACGCCTTCCCAGAAGATGCCGCCGAAGACTGAGGGGCACGGTTACGGGGTGGGTGGGCTCAGGGGGGGTGCACCGACCCCCAGTCGCCCATTGATGGCCGATCGGGGCTTGACCCCATCCCGCACGGGAGCTTGCAGATTCGTCATCGGCGGCCTATCGCCGATCTATCAGCGATGTATCGCCAATTCGAGCTCGATGTTCTCCCTTTGAGCCGGTACCCCCCTGAACGTCCATCCTCAGAGACTAGAGCCCCGAAATTGGTGTCCTGGGGACCAGCATTTCATCGTAAGGCGTTTTTGTTACAGCCCTGGGGCCCGGCGATGGCCCCAGGTATATGAACAAACGGCTAAGTCAATTGTCTCAATTTGTTATATATGCATCGGAGGTTTGGGAATAGTTCTTAGGAAGAGTTCGCAGGACGAGCCACCGAAAGTATGAGGAGAAACCTGGAGGCCTCGCGCTGCGCGCAATAGTTGTACAATCTAGTCCACACGCCCCCTCCGCAAGATATGAGGGGACGTTCGCGCGCCGATGCCCCGACGCCAGCCCGACGCGAACCCGACGTGAACCCGACGCAGTCCGAGGTGAACCCATCGCCCGGACGTGTGCATTTTTAGTCGACGTGGACCCTCGAGGAGTATAGAGTATACGTGTATATATATACATATATATAGTATATATAGATATGTATAGATATGGGTGTTCGGGTATTCCCGCACCGGTGAAAAAGAAAGCGCACGGTGAGGCCAGCGGAAGGTTTTAGCAAGGTTTTTTGTTGTAAGGTTCCAGGAATCCTGGATTCTTCCTGAGGAAGGTTTCAGGAAGGTTTTTTTTTTAGATTCCAGGAATCCTGAATTCTCCTAAAGAGGGTTTTAGAAGAGTAAAAGGTTTCGATCGGACTCCTCCTGTAGAGGCTCTCAATAGGAAATCTTGTGTGGAGGCTCTCAATAGGAATCCTTTTGTAGAGGCTTTCAATAGGAATCCTTCTTGTCGAGGCTCTCAACAGGAATCCTTTTGCACAGCCTCTCAATAGGAGTCCATCTGTATTAGGTTTCAACAGGAATCCTTTTGCATTCGCTTTCAATAGGAGTCCTTTTTGTAGAAGCTCTCAACAGGAATCCTTGGGGAAAAAGGCTTTCTATAGGAATCCTTATGTGGAGGCTCTCACTAGGAATCCTCTCTGCACAGGCTCTCAATAGGACTCCTTTTCGTAGAGGCTCTCAATCGGAATCCTCTCGCACTAGCTTTTAATAGGAATCTTTTTTTTGTAGAGCCTCTCAATAGGAATCCTTTTGCCGAGGCTCTCAACAGGAATCTTTTTGCACAGGCTTTCAATCGGAGTCCATGTGTATTCGGTTTCAATAGGAATCCTTTTGCATAGACTTTCAATAGGAATCTTTTTTTTGCAGAGGCTCTCAATAGGAAGCATGCTGTAGAGGCTTTCAATAGGAATCGTTGTGTAGAGGATCTCAAAAGGAATCCTTTTGTAGAGGCTCTCAATAGGAATCCTTTCGTGGTGGCTCTCAATTAGAATATTTTCGCATCAGCTTTCAATAGGAATCCTTTTTTTGTAGAGGCTCTCAATCGGCATCCTATTGTCGAGGCTCTCAACGGTAATCCAGTTGCTCAGGCCCTGAATAGGAATCCATGTATATTAGGGCTCAACAGGAATCCTTGTGTATTCGCTTTCTATAGAAATCCTTTCTATGTAGAGGCTTTCAATAGGAATCCGTGTGTACAGGTTCTCCAATAGGAATCCATTTGTGGAGGCTCTCAACAGGATTCGTTTTGAACAGGCTCTCACTCGGAATTCATTTGTATTGGGTTTCAATCGGGATCCTTTTGTTTTTGGCTCTGGATAAGGATATTTGTTGTATAAGCTCTGAGTAGGAATCCCTTTGTAGAGGCTTTCAGTAGGGATGCTTTTGTAGAGGCTCTCACTAGGAATCCTCTTTGCACAGGCTCTCACTAGGAATCATGTTGTAGAGGCTCTCACTAGGAATCCTGATCCTCTCAATAGGAATCCCTTTGCAGAGGCTCTCAATCTGAATCCTTGTGTAGAGGCTCTCTATAGGAATCCTATCGTAGACGCTCTCAGTTGGACGGTTCCAAGAATCCTAGAATCCTTGGGGCTTCTTGGGGGCTCCTGGGGTTCCCGAAACCTTCTGGGCATTGGACAGCCCAAAGACCCAGGGCTAAAACACCAACACAAACAATGTAACACAACACCGCGACAAACAAACACACAGTTTGCAGCATGTTCTCCGTGAGGGCGGCGGGGTTGGGGTTAAGCCTTGAACACGTGTTACTTGTTTTGGTTTGTGTTATTGTGTTGTTTGGGTGTTCAGTGTTTCTTGTGTTTCAGCCCTGCTCTGGTTTCTTTGACTGTGCTGTTTGTTCATTGTTTTTGTTTGGGGGGGGGGGTCAGTGCCCACGCTCCTGCAGGAGGAGGATGCGGAGAGGGGGGGGGGACGAGGAGGGGGAGGAGGATAAGGAGGATGGGGAAGGGGGAGGGGGAGGTTGCCACGCTCCTGCAGGAGGAGAAGGGTGAGGAGGAGAAGGGGACGAGAGACAGAGAGAGAGAGAACGAAGAAGAGTGGAGGAGGATGAGGAGGAGGAGGATAGATGGGACGCACGGAAGCGGAAGATGTATGATCATGTGTGGGGGGGGGGGGCGACCATATGCTCGCCCCTCCCCCCACACATGACTGGTTCGTCTTCTCGTAG